CACACTGTCCTCTTATCATCCACTCCAATAATTAAATAGCCTTGTGTGTTTGCAAATGCAGATACATAGTTTGGAAGAGTGCTTTTAACATATTTCAAGACATGCTTTGTTGCAAAGCCTTTAAGTTCAATATGCATAGACTCAGTGAATGGCAGCAGTTCATCTCTTTCAAAACATTTAGCAGTAAGTAGCTTCAAGTATGTCATATTTCTCCTGCACATTAGGTTCCAATGTTGCTTGAGTGTTGCTCTATCGGGCTCTCTTGGCTGTTGGACCTGTCTCTTCTTCATATCTTTGCCTAGAATTAGCTTTCCTCTCCTCAAGAAATTCAAAAGCTTCATCTGGTTTCAGGCTAACAACAGAGGCGAGAGATTTTTGACACAATCCAGAATTTAGGGAGCAAATATGTGGCTTCAAGAGAGCTGGGGCAGATGACAACTTCTCACTGCTCCAAGATTTAATAAAAATCAGAAATGTGCTGTTTTGCTGCATATAGTTGTGGAATCAGAAAAAATATATGCCTTAAACTTTGACTATTTTAGTTATAAGATGACATAACCGCTTTGTGGAGAATTGCTGGCTCTGTATAGTAGAACAGATAAGAGAAAGTGTTTGTTCTTTGTAACTCCTCTGCAACTGCTTCGCTCACCGCGGCCTTGAAGATAGCAAAAAGTATGTACAACTCTGATTTGCAGGTGTTTTGTGTCCTTATATGATCACCTGCCATTTTTTTCCTCTTCTCACCCAGAGTTACTTTTCCTACATCTACAACCACATCAGGATAGTCTGTATCATAAATATGCAACGGTTTTTCCTTCTGGGTCATCCTGCTTCTTCAACAGCCAGAACTTTCAGAAACCTTTGGAAACACATGGTTATAATCCATACCACATCTTCACATTAGATACAGTAATATGGACTCTAAGACTCTGGGAAGAATTTTCAAAGTAACATCAGAGTCTTATGGGATGGACATACAAACAACTTTGAGGTAGGAGGGAGCAGGGCTTTAGTGCACATAAGCTGTTCTGCAATAATGGCACATGTAAACAGCCTTACCCCGTGGTAAATGGAATTTAAATGTGGTAGCTTAGCCCTCAGTGAAGGAGGGCTAAGTAATCCAGTGGTATCTCCTATCTCAGGGGTTCCCAACACCGTGGGCTGTGGGCCGGTGCCGGACCGTTAAGGGTTGGCTGCTGGTCTGCAGGAGGGTTGGCTGCCAGACCAGAAGTGACCACGGACTGGCAAACTGTGGACTGGAAATGACCAGCATGCTGCAGACAGGCAGCCAACCCTTTTTTATACTGAGCCATTTCTGGTCCACTGTTTGCCGGACCTTTGCATAAAAAGGTTGGGAATCCCTGTCCTCTCTCTCCAGAACATAGACTCCGATTTCTGAAAATAAAATAATACCAATTTAAAGTACATGCCAACACAACTGTAACTCTGCACTTTGGGGTGGGCAATGTGCACTGGAAATTATCTGCATGCACTCCAGCAGTATTCAGTGTGTTAATTGTAACTGCCTTGGGAGTGCTGTAATTATAATGTGGAGTGTGATGGGAAAACTGTCTTCTGGGTTGGGAAGGGGGTGAGACCTTCTCCCCTTAATCTCTGTGTGTGATCAAAGGAAAGGGGTATATGTATACAGTGAGTGATCCAACATGCCTCCTTTCACCACTCCATTGTATGGTTGGGGAGGCCAATTTGTGATAGGTGTGTCCTATGTGGCATGGACAGCCTCTATGCAGAGCATGCAGCAGATCAGGGAGGGGACAAGGGCAGGAAGCAGAAGGCAGTGCTGCAGAGAGAACTGTTAGGGTGACACTATTTGGATCTTTGGGAGTGCTGGATTTGCTGCTGAATAAAGGCTTCTTTCTGTCTCAGCAAAGCTGCAGACCACAAGGCAGAATGATATATTAAAAGTAACACTGCAGATGCTTAGGCAAGCAGTTTTCTAACAATGTCATAGCATTGTAAGTTCATGGTGTAAGGAAATAAGATGCAGCCCACCAGCTATTGTCAGGAGATAAAGCCAAAGCAAGACCTTGGAGATGAAGCAGAAGTCTGCAAGAAACAGCAATTGAACGAGAGAAGCTGAGTTCACGGTCTTACGCATGCGCTCATAGCAAAAGGTATGTAAATAAATGAAATGCATAGGCAATCTTATGCTAATGAAGTAACCCGTAAACAGAGGAAGAGCTTGAGATAGGAGGAGATATGGGTGGAAGAAAGGAGGGGCAAAGGTGGAGTAAATGTTAATGAGTATAAACCAAGGTGTATAAATGTGAAAAGAACTAGTGTTTACTGCAGCTCCCCAGTATTTTTTGGGAGCTGCCCCGAAGCTGTCTCCATTCTGAATAAAGCTGTTGTCGTGCAATGCGTGCTGGTGCTTGCTCCCTGCACAACTGGATCCACCCTGTCTCCCTAGTCATTGGGCACGGCATGGAGTCGGGGTCTCACAGGAACAGGGAGCACAGGGCAGGAAGCAGAAGGCACAGCAGCAGATCAGGCACAGTAGGGGATTGGAACAGCACTAGGGGAGCATGCGGAGCTAATTTGTGGCATACCTGCCAAAAATGTTGCCCCCTGTGGTTTGGGGCAGTGGCTGACTACTGTATGGACTGTCAGCCATTACATGGGAGAAGGGTGTGATATGTGGGTTTAACCAAGGGTATGTGAAAACCTAGTGCCAGGTGGTATCTTGTACCCCAGAGTGAAGCAATGGTGCAGTTTAGCCGGTACTGGTAGTGGCAGAGTGCAGACAGGTCCTATTTAACATGGCTCAAAACCATGCAAGAATGGGGGGGCCTTGGGCCCTTCCCATCACCTGAAAAACGAGGGGCTGGCAGCCACCCACCCCGGCTGTCCTCGCATGCGCTGCGCTGCGGGGAGGACCGTGCTCTCGGCGCGGCTTGGTTTTCTCCAATGATCTTTTGGAGTTTCCTTCCCAGGGTAACAGAGCAAAGAGCAGGCGAGGCAGGGGCTGCACGACTCCGCTCCCCGGGGGCTGTCCAGCCCGGCGCCCTCCAGGGAAGCTCGAGACGCGCGGGTGGATCCCACAGCGGAGCGCCCCAAGGCAGGAGCCTGGAGCACGGGGGCTCCGCAGCCGCTGCCCCGGGGCTGGA